AAAAATAATCCTAAATAGAACACTGGAAAGAAGTCCCCCAAACTATAAATGTATTTTGAATCAATGATTTTCCCAAAGAGTTGTTGCTTATCAAGAGCTATTTCACATTAACTGCCTTTAATGGGAGAGGGCTGTGGAGAAATCTGGGAATAATTTTACTGTGACTCATCCCAAACTCCAGACCCTGCCATTATGCCTGACTCATTCCTGGTACTAACTTCTTTGTGTTAACTCCTGGCTCTGGCACTTTGGAGAAAATACACAATCTTTTTGTTTTTTCTATTTCTTCATCTGTAAAACTACATAATATAGAATTTTATCTTCTTTATATGATTGTCTCTTATAGTTCCTCTGTGAATTAAGTCAGCTAATAATGAAAACCCATAGAACAGAAGTTAGCATGCAGTAAACACTAGCAATTTGCTTTTTATGATGATAATTACCTTCCTGCACTCTAGAATGAGAGTAATCAAAGGCAGTGGATGGAATAAATCTCAGTCCTAATTTTCCTTACTTTGATGATGGCCAACTTGCCATGGTAGGAACACAGTCTCCTTCTGGTCACTCCTTCCAAAAGAACAGGGAAATCTGGCTGCTGTTAAGAGTAACACAGAAGGAGAAACAGAAGGGACTAAGGGCCAGTTTGTAGACCCGAGGTGCCAGGGAAGGCTTAGATCATTCAAATTGTAAGTCTGAACTTCCAATAGTTTCCTTACTTTGTGTTTAAGTTGGGGGTATTTTTCTGTTATTTTAAACTAGCAGCTGGACGACCGCATGTTCCCTCATGGCTTTCTGGGTTCTGGGCTTCAGTGCAGTGCCTGTCCATTTCCGCCAGGCCTTGCTGGAGGAGCCTCTGACACTGGACAGTGAGGAAAGGTGGCCTGGGTGGGTCTAAGACATGAGGCGGGACAGGCAGGAGCTGCGGCCGCAGAAACAGGCAGCATATGGCATTCAGAAAAGGGTTCTGTTTGTCACCCCATGTGTGACTCCAGAATTTTTAATGAATTCTGAGGAGACTCCAAAATATATAGAAAACAAATTGATCCTTTCAATAGAAACAGACTCCCAAGGGCACTATATGGCATACTTACATATACACACATGGAAATATGTGAGTGTATAGCCACTGATTTGCTAAATAAGACAGCCAGTGTGACAAAGCACTCCAAGTGCCCCAGGTGGAAAATTTGGAATTCGGGTGACAGCTGAAAACTACCCCTTTCAAAACAAAGTTCATGGCTAATGGCTGAGGTTTTACTTGAGGCTTTAGAACCATTGGTTCAATCAATGTTCTATAGCAACATCTGCAACAAGTGTCTAAAAGTGAGTAAACTTGATAATGAAAAGTGGGGCATTCCATGACAGTCAGAGCTACACATACACTCCAGGAACTACTAACAGTTCAGTGCATTAACTGTGGAGGCTGGAAAGTAACCAGGATTATCTGATTAAATTTCTGCTGAAAAAAAAAAAAAAAAAAAAAAAAAACAAAAACAAAACATTAACAGTTGTGACATTATAAAGACAGATGGAAATGGTACAAAGCTCCTGCCAGACTGACAACTAGAAAAGACGTCCAAGACTGCCACCTGGAGTGAGATGCGGAGCAGTGCATTTGGGAAAGCAAATTAGCAAAAGGCGCTGAAAGCTGCCTGTCACTTGAATTGTTTTTCATAGAAGTAGGCGAAGGAGAGAATGCGGCCTTTGAACCAGATCCTGTTCTGTGTTTCCACAATATGATGTATGCATTTCATTCCAGGGCGCCTCCTGGGCCGGATACTATTCCACAGAAAAGTAGTTCTTAGTCATCACTATAGGACCACGCAGGCTGCTCTCTCCACTGCCCGTGCTGGCTTTAGGCTTCATATTTTCTTCCTTCTTTTCTTAGCAATGCTTCTTTAGAAGTAACTTTTCATGCCCATCTTCAGAAATTGAGAGATGGCTCAGTGGTTAAGAGCACTTGCTGCAATTGCAAAGGACCTGGGTTCAGTTCCCAGCACCAATGTTGTGGCTCATAACCACCCATTATTCCGGGGGATCCAACACCCTCCGCACACTCACACACATAAAATAACAATAAATATTAAAAGAGAAAATTGCAGAGCAATCTGTGAACCAAAGATGCAAAAATTCTCAATAAAATACTTGTCAACAGAACTCAAGATCACATTGAAAAGATCATGACCAAATTGGTTTCATTCCATATAATTCAAAATATATAAATCAAATATGTCATTACATAAATTAAATCAAAGACAGAAATTACATCATGAGCATCTCAACAGATGCAGAAAGGCCTTTGACAAAATTCAGCATCCTTTTCAGCAGAGGTAATACACAAAATTAATATACCAAAAGTATTCATTCTTTATATCGACAAACATACTGAAATCAGGGAAATAATCCCACTCAATACACATACACACACCCCAAACTAAACAAAAACCCTGGGAATAAATCTAACTAAAGAACTGAAAGATCTTTATTACAACTCTAAGACATTCTAGAAAGAAATTGGGAATATACCTCTCAGGCTATGGATTAGAATTAAATTTGTGAAAATGGCCATCCTACAGATTCACTACAATACCAAAAAAATGCAGGGACATTCTCCACAAGCACAGAAACAATCTTACAATTTATACGGAGGCACAAAAGACTGAGGACAGCCAGAGTAGCACTGCTACTGGAACACGGCTGATCTGAATAGAGAATTCTCAAAAAGAAATAAAAATGGCTAATAGACACTGAAAAGTGTTCAACATATTGGCCATCAGGTAAATAAAAGTTAAAACTACTTTGAGACTCTATCCCATGCCATTCAGAACAGTTACCAACAAGAAATCAAATGACAACAAATGCTGGCAAGAGTGTGAGGGCAGATGACCATATTCACTACTGGTGGGAGTGTATGCACACAGTTTATACCACTGATATACTGCGAACATCAGTGTAGATGTTCCTTAAAAAGCTAGACATACGAAAGCACCGACCCAGCTGCACTACTCCTGGGCACAGATTCAGAAGGACAAAACCCTACTACAGAGATTCATGCTCAATCATGTACATCACTGCTCTGTTCATAAGTGCTAAGAAATTGAATCAGCTCAGGTATTCATCAACTAATGAATGGATAATGAAAATGTGGACATAAACACAACAGAGTATTATCACCTGTAAGGAAAATGAAATTATGGAAGAAACAAGAAAAAAATATATATATATTGAGCAAAAATATATATATTGAGACTCAGATAAATATACCATGTTCTCTCTCATATGTAGACCCTCACTTAAAATCTTTAGATTTGTCTGCTCAATCCTGAGGGCATGTAGAAACAATGAAAGTAGAAAAGGGTGACTGAGATGACAGATGTCTTAAGGTGGTGGGGAAAGCAGAACCAGCACTAGTTGGTAAGACCCTATTGCATAAGATACCATGTGTCGGCTGCAAGGTAATGAAATGAAGCTGGAACTGAGCGGGAAGCTTCCTACTTGCTAGCTTTCGTAGTGCTGGTAGTACCCTATACAGGTTACTTAAGAAGAAAAGGCACCCGTGGTCTTACTCAGATATGAACTCTACAAACCACAGTACCAACATGGAAGACAAGATGTACCCACCGGTACAGTAGTGGCATGACTGTTATGGGGATAACCAACCGCTTGTCTTCATTTGCAGTCCATTCCACACGAATTCATGCCTGGTACCATAAACTTGGTCAAAAACCCATGGCTGAGGAAGTCTGAGGCTCTGAAAGTGAACTACTACTGTCATCCAACTAAATTATCATGGTGCCAAGCTGCCTCCTAGGTATTTCTTTACAACCAGACGAATACCACTCAGTTCTAATCAGAGCTTTTCTTTGCAAGGAAGGTTGGTGAATGCAGAGATGCATGCCTGCTCAAGGTGTCCAGAGTAAAAGACTGAGTGCTCGGCCTAAGCAGGGAACTTGCACCACCTCCCTTAAGGCCCAGGGAGAAGGGGTGCGAAATGCTGTAGTCATGACGTCACTGCAATCATGGGAAGAAGGGGTGTGAAATGCTGTCCTTGAACTTAGTCATGACCTCACTGCAGTGTGGCTGTCCAGTGAGGCTATCAGCAGCCAACCATGCATCAGAGGACTCATAGTGCTCTGCCCCTCCCTGAACTGCTGGCTATTGGTGGATTCTAGGGGAGGGGCAGACATTGTCTTTAGCTGTGTACCCACTGGTGGGACCACCAGGCTCCAGTGTGTAGTTACAAATCATGTTCACACAGATGATCCTGGTTAAATTCAGTGGGTCTCAAAAACTAGATATAAATGTGGGACTTGTGGGAGGGTTAACGGGTTGGAGGGAGATGAGTGGAGAATGAGGTATCAGAATGCACTGCATACATGCGTGAAAACTGTCAGAACAAATGTGGGTTTTATATGTTGATTTCATTATCTTATAGTGGGAGAGTAGAATTTAGGGCTGCCAGAATGGCTGTGAATAGAGAAGGAAATCCCAGAAAAGAGGAAGTCAGACAGGAGAGATCCCCAAATCTGTATAGGAATCTTTGGCCATCCTCTGGGCTGCATGAGGGAAACCTCAGGCCCAAGCATGTCATCTCTTTACAAAGGCCAAAGCTGAGTCACTTCAAGTTGGAGGTGGTGGTAAAAAATGGGCTTTCTATAAGCCTAGACTAACAAAGAAAGCTAAGGCCCAGAAACTCAGTGTGACCACCCAGTAACTTAACTGACCATCATTACTGTGGGATTCTAAGTCAGATATGCAAGGTCATGAAGGGCACTTTTACAGACATTCAGTCCTGTTGTTAAGACAGACAGATCAGAGCTGGATGGGTAGCAGACAAGGAAATGGTTCACAGCACAGAAAGAGTCATCCCCCAGTTTAGATTAAGAAAGTGTGTTGAGAGGAAACAATTCAGTATAAATATTATGAAACATAACTCACCAACAACAAAAAATCGAACAAATTGTTTAAAAAGAACTCTTTATTCTTATAAATAGGTTTAATTCAAGAGTTTCAAATAACATGAATCACAGTTTTGAAGTCAAATATTTCCATTTTTGACTCTAACAAAATGTAATACGTTTTACAAAAGTATCTAGAACATCTACTCACATATTTTAAAAATAAAAGACCAAGTTCTTTCCAAAATAAAAAAAAAAAATAGGTCATTTTTAACCAACAATTTATTTCCAGTTTTTGAGAAACTAATTTTTAAACTGTACCCCTATTTGGTAACAAAGGTCTTTACTTCCTTGCAAATGAACATGGCTGAAGTCTTCAGCCCTTAGTTGTGAGTTGTGTGTGTATAACAACTTGAGGCACTGTGCTAAAACAACAGAAGATAGGACGGGAGAGGGAAGATTATCTGCTCTGAAAGAGCCACAATGAGTGTGTGCCTCACTTTTTTTGATCTAGAAAAGTAGAAAGTATAATCACATTTTCCATGGCAACTTTTTTCTAAACTGCTGTAAAAGCGAAGCAGACTTTGTGTCTTTTCTCACTCCTTCAAACCAAGTGCAGTGTAGACAACAGACTTCGGTCAGGCCACCTACTCAAAGCCCAAGGTCAACCAGTTCCTTTGTATTCTTGGGCAGATCCCTCTGCTTGACTTTTCGTATGTGGGTACAAATTAGTACAGGCGAATTCAGAAACACAGTAAGTGAACAGGCCGACTTTTCAAATGCATCACCACTAGCACTTGTTTGTGGGAAATAGCCTTATGAAGTAAACTCACACAACACATTAGCTACATCATCTCATATACTGTAACAAAACAAGTGAATTCCTGTATTACATTTATCTTCACTTCACGTAGCTCAGGACACACTCTCAGGAACAGTATAATAAGCAGGGCTAGGATGTAGCTCGGCTGGTAGAGCACTTGCTTAGCAAGTTCAAAGCCCTATGTCTGATCCTCAGCACTGCACAAACCAGGCATGCTGTATGCCTGCAATCCTAGTGCTCGAGGTAGAGGGAGGAGAGTCAGGAGTTCAAGGTCCTGCTTGGCTACATGGCAAGTTCCAGGCCAGCCTGGACTACATGTGACCTTGTCTCAAAAAACAGCAAAGTATAATAAAAAAATGTGGATAATTGTAGATCTTTGTGGTTTAAGATAATACAAAACTATTAAAAAGTTTAATAATACTTGAAGATGTAGCAAACTGCCACCACCTAGTAAACAGCGCAATAATTTTTTTTTTTTTTTTTACAGACAATACTTACCCTATTTATCATTAGGAGGAAAAACTTAAAAGCACATTTTTTTTTTCTGATATAGGACTGAACATGTACGCAAGATAAACACTGTCTTACTGGTACAATGAAATATAATCTTTGGCTAGGTTGTATAACTCAATTTGCTTCTAAAAGCAGGTTAACAAAAGTTAGAAATCTGCTTTTATTTAGAAACAAAATGCTTCAGGAAATACTTGGACATGACTTACCAACTAAGAGGAAGACTATTAGCCACAGCAAACATAAATTTTAAGCGATGGCATTTTGAGATACTTTAAAAGACATTATGCCACACCTACTTCTCAATTCACTAAAGTTTTTCTCATGAAATTTTATTTCTATTAAATAGAAAAATTCCTTCTAGGGAGGTCTGTACCCCCACAGACACTAAGTAATTTTATAAAATGTATGTTTTCCACAACTGACATCTATTTGTTGTTGTTTGACTTATACTGAAAGCAATGTAGAATGTCTAATACCTTCAGATAATTACCAGAGCTTATTATGTTGTAGAATCTGTGGTTTTCCAAGTTAAACACATCATATTCTTTTAATCATTTGTCTTGAAATAAAAGTATAAGCACTAAGCATTTTGTTCATGCTCCTCTACAAACCTTCTGGCATTTTGAGAAATTACTCCAACATAAAGCATAACATGCCATTCAGGGTCTGGCTGGGACAGAGAAAAAGACTCCTCTCCATATTTTCCTTCTAATGGAAACCTTTCATAGCAAGGCAGCACAGCACAGTCAAAAGCTCACAACCTTTTATGATCATTTTGAGACAGAATGGATTGTGGGAGCCGCCAGGTAGGCCTGACTTCAGCTTCTCCACTGGTCGGATGGAGCAGCATCTACATCTCTGGCTGCGTGGATGGAGTGAGGCAGCACCTGTGACTCAGTCAGCAGGGTTCCACTGCAACGCTTCCTTCTCTTCCCCATCCTGTACATGACAGCTGCACACACATGGCTCAACCTAATCAAATTTCCTGGTGTGAAGCCAACATAATGTTTAATACACATTTCTTGAAAAACATACCCTAACTTCTTTTGGTTTAATGGTGACTGCGGCACAATGAAATTATCATTAATATCATTTTAAAAAGATACTGGCTTACCATATTATCACAAAACTTACTTTACAAATAATTTCCAAATGTTATGGAATTTAGTGCTTAACTCATGGACATATTAAAAATACATTACCAGTATCTCTTTAATTCCTAATTTTTCAACAATTTATATTGGAAATATGTCATCATATTCAATATTTCCTACTAAAGGTAACTGAATCATCCTTAGAATGCTAAAACAGAGCCTAACACAAAATACTTTTAACTGGCTGACATTTCACTTCTTTTAAAGTTATTATGAACCATTAAAAATTCAACTGCTATAACTTAATGACTAAAATTAAAATTACCTTTCCTATAAATAGTAATATTAAAATAACATTCTATTATAGACAATACACATATCTATGTAAAATCTATAAGCACCAATCAGTAGAAAACAATACAATGTCAGAAATTAGGCAGAAAATGGGTCAGGATGACTCACTATGACACAGTTTGTTTCCCAAGATTAACTTGCCTCTGTTGTACTTTTCTAGGGTGTTTGCTTCCTTCTATACTAAAAATCCCATTCAATATACATTTATCCAGTACCTATCACAGGGCATGTTTGTGAGCATTATGCCTATATAATAGGGGATGCATCCCCTTTGAAATAACGCTAGACATATACCAGACACTGACTACAGTCAGCCACATTACCCTCATCGGACATTAGGAACCAACTACAGCTATCCTAACTCATGTGTTTGTGTTCTTGTCTACAAGCTAACATTCTGATTTCCACCAGGAAAAGCTTCTTCACATTTACATCACATTTCATGTTTTAACTACTTAAAACATTTTTAATCACTTCAAAAAATATAAGGCTCTCTAAGCTAATGAACATGAATTTACCTATTTCATCTGATTTCCCCACTAGATCTTTTCTCCTCTCCTCATCAGACAATTAGGATGAACATAATGTTGAATTAGTTAAGTTCAAACTAGAAATACACTATTATCTTACTAGAAATAAGTTACATAAAAGGTATTTTACAACAGGCTAAGACATTCACTAAGTGACTGTGAGAACAAGACCAAGGAGTGACAACTCTTCTTGCAAGACGGCAAGCTATGTGACAGCACACTACATTTCCACATCGCTGACTGAGTCAGGCTTTTTACAATCCTGGAAGAGAAAGCTCATGTGTGTGCAAACACAGAGCATCCGACCGCACTGATGCCACCTGAAGGCAGTGTTCCACGTCTATGCGTTTTAAATTAAGGTAGAACTAGTTCAAAATCACTACTGAGCCTAAAACAACGCACAGAAAAGATCCAACCTTTTCATATGCTTTAAAATAACCCTGCTTGAAGATTGGTGCCAGACTGCAAGGCTCCATGACTCTCAGCAAATCATTTTTTTCTATAATCACATTTTATGGTTTATTTTTAATTATATGTGTCAGGGAGTGTATGTGAGCACAGGTACCCAGAGGCCAGCAGCACAGATCCCCTTGGAGCTGGAGTTACAGGTGGTTGTGAGCCACCTGTCCCGAGTGCTGGGAACTGAACTCTGGTCCTCGGTAAGAGCAGTATGCTCTCTTAACCACAGAGTTGATCATCATCCAGCCCTCTACAATCTCTTTTTAAGTCTAATTTTTTAAAATTCAATAAAACATTTACTTGACAATTATTGAAACAAAGCTTAAAGTAGAAATACAATGAACTACTTAAGCAAGGATCTTTTCAGGTGACACTGTTTCACGGGTGAGTTCCTGTGTGTCTCCAGCAGCAAAGGAAAGCTGCCTGGTATGGTAAGCTTCTCTCACACATGTAAGGTCACATGGGCTGAGGCACACACCAGTCAATGAGCATCTTCTGCCAACTGACCAAGAAAACCTAAACGAACATTTATCATAAAACTACCAACCAGCACCTGCTTTAAACTCTAATGAAAAGTAATAGCACCTTGTAATTCACAGCATTCCTTTCTAAAATGCCACATATGGTATTTTAAGTATTTTTTGGAAAATGGGGTGGTTTCGCCTACTGCTCACTGTAGACCTTCGTTCTCTTAAGACGCAAAGCACAGAAGTGACTCAATATGTAGACTGAACTGGAAGAGGATCTCTGAAGAGGTCTTCCGCCAGTATGAGGGGTCAGGCACTTTCCTCCTTATGGCCAGACTCCGAGTGCAGAACTTCTTCCTCTCAGAACACTTCCTAAGCACAGAAGCCCTGGCTCAGGACTATCAGATGCCACATTATGTTGTTTTTACGACACTGCACGGTTTTCAGTTTGGGCTTCCAAGATGCAATTCTCCATCATGATAAATTCATCCTGAAAAGTATGATGTGAGTATACCTTCTCATCTGATTAAAAACATTGGGGTAACATACATGTGCTCTTTAATCACTGTTAAGTACTTGAGTCCATTTACCTTCCAAATATTAGGCAAAGAAATGGTGTGAATCAAGCACTTACGACTACACTTGGAATTTTTACCAGAATGGTTTCTAAGCTCCTGTATGAAGAGTACTTCACAAATCTACATATTTAAAACTCTGAGAAAACATAATCCAACAATGAGAGGAAAATCGGTTTTCTTTAAAAAACTCAAAGATAAAATCAGTTAAAAATTGAGCTCTATTCAGTTTCACATTTACATGTAAAGTTAACATGACTTAAAAAAAGTTAACATGACTTTACGACATTTTCTCATAAAGGAATAATAACGTAATGAATAAACTTTAAACAATTAAAATAGGACAAAACAAACAAACAAACAAACAAACAAAAAACCTAACAACTTCTCCCTCAAAATCAGTATGTTCCCTAATTTGTAAAATACAAATGATTTCTCACCTTTGAACGCTTCTGGTTTGTTTGGGTGAGAGGATCAAATATCAATTTTATTTACATGACCTCATAAGTCACTGGTTTTGAGCCTCAGAGACAAAATTTTACTTCGAAGATCTCAGCGAAGATATTACTTCCTAAGTAAGTCTTCCTACGTTTACCCTAATTTTTTGTTGTTGTTATTCCACAAAATGTTTGCCTGGAACGTGTGAATGTGCCCTTATTTGAAAAGGTTTTGCAGATACGATTAAGCGTCCTAAGATTAAATCTGTTTCTATTAGATTGTATTAGGGGTCCCAAATCCAGTGGCATTGTCTGTCTAAGAGCAGAAAGTGGAGACAGCCCTGTACTGTCGAGGCAGAAACTGGAGTGATGTGGTGAAAACCAAGGAAAGCACAGCCAGCCACTGACACCACTGGTGCAGGGAGGGTCTCCTCAAAGACCAGCTCTGCTAACACTGATTCCAGGCTCTGCTACCTGGAGGCCTGAGAAATTTTTAAATGTGACCATAATTTTGTACAAGAGCCCTGGGTAACTCATACAGTGATCATTTCAGAAAGAAAATCTCTAAAAGGTATTGCAATTAACATGATTTATCTTTGGCCATTATATAATTGACATTAGAAATGAGTTGAGACAGGTTATTCATTTCTATTTTAAAGAAAAAAAACCCGATTCCTAAATAAACATTTCTGAACCTCTAGTTTATAATTAGTTTATAATTTACATCTGCAAAGTCTATTCCAACTTAAGATTGAAACTATATTTACTGAAACATTCAATTTTTCAGCCATAACTATTTCTGGGTCATTTGTAAATATTTCTTAAACACAGCTATTCTTTGAGCATCAGTATAGGTCTAAAGCTATGGAGTACACCTCATTCTCTAAATTTGTAAATATAAATGGTCTCCAAAACTTCTGAGAAGCTAGATCAGAGATATCATGAGATAGCTGTAAACAACTTATTTTCTCATTATTCAGGCTTTTAGGCAGGTCTCAAACTTTCCTAGTTCTTTTTATTTACCTGGATTTGTTTTTATTTCCTGGATTTACCTACAAGAAATTCCACAGTTTCTACTTATTTGGTATAGAAATAGTCTACTTTTAAAGTTGAAAATACCCTTGCCATTACCACATAAACCTTTGGATGTCCTGATTATTTGGCCACTGGAAAGTTTTGTTGAGAAAGATATAAAACGTTAGAAAATTAACCACTGCATAGCAACCCAGTTCACAAACAAGTTTAGATACGGATGGCAGAGGTATATTAAGCCTATAAATCAAGTAGGGTAAAATGAAGTACCGGAACTCCAGGAGCTCCTGAGGAACTGTAGCGCTCACCAAGCACACAAAAAACATTAAATTCCAGAAAACTGATTTTGATTTCAAAGAGTCAGCTATAGCCCAACCAGCAAACAAGTAGGCTGGGACTAACAAATATTTCACAATTTCATGTCTCTGAAAAATTCTTTTCCACACATAGAATGTGTAATGTCTATTATCTGCTAGTAAGAACTTATGAACGTAAGTGAACTTCCAAACAAAAAATACCGAGACTAAGGTAATCACAAAAAACTGAACTCTACGTTTCCAAGCTAAGCAAAGAAAAGCCTTAATTTTGGTCAGAGACAGTAGGTGGGGGAAGGAGAAAAAGAGAGTGAACGCGAAGAAATAGAAGAGCTGAGGGAGGTGAAGACAGGCCTCATGGCTGCCCCGGTCACCAATAACAATGCCTCCATTAACAACCACAAAAACACAAAACCCACACAGCAGAAGGAAGTAGGGCCATGTCAAAATGACAAGTGCACGCAAGTTCTTAAATGACAAGGAGTACAACAGGAGGAACCGCAGGACGTTCCAGAACTCTGCAAACGGGCCTTTGATGGGGGGGAGCCGCTCTCCCTTCTTCTTCTGCAGTTCGGTTTTCCAAGCCTCGGTCAGCTTCTGCGCAACGACATGGCCAGCACAGAAGGCAGCCCAGACGATGTTGGTTTGACGGAACATGAAGCCACAAAATCCAAGCATTGCTGAAGTTTTATGATTGCCATAAAGACACATCAAGTAGGCAAAAAGGGTAAAGAAGACAGACCCCGCCTCTGTATAATAAAGGAAGTTAAAGAAGTAGAGGATCGGAAATACTGCCAGCGTCAGTGCTGACAAGATTCTCTGGATACTTGAGGCAGCCTTAGAGGGAAAAGAAAAAAAAACAGTTGCAGTTATTTTCAGCACAAAACAAATAAGCTACTGCTACTGAATTAATGGGCAGATTTTCTTAAAAACTGACTGCAGTGTTATTTAAATGAATCCTACTTCTGGTTCTGCAAGACCACAGTACACATTTCTAAAACCACTCCTGGTACTTTTCAGTTACAGTAATCAGCTTGGAAGCCATCAAAGCAATACCACGACGAAGCTTTTGAATCATGGACCAACAGTTAAAAGAGTTCTTAGATACGAGACCTTGGCCTATGTTATATGGGGAATGCAGAAATGAACAGGACGGCAGCTGCACTGCCCTGAACTTTGTTTGGTCTCAGCCATCATCACCCACACCCTTCAAGGACAACACTCTACACCAGAGAAATGTGAATGTGCACATACATAGTATTGACTATCCCACCTAATAATCTTACTTTTTTTCATGATGAAATTGCAAGGATTTTTCCTGAAAACTCAGGGTTAGTCTAAACTCAAATATTATGATTAGGCTTTTCTGACAATTTCAGAATTTAAGTTTTTAATTATCTTGAAGTGTATCCCTCACACAACCTAACTCAGAAAATCATATAATACCCAGCCTTTAATTAAGCTTAAGGTCTCTTCATCACTCAGGAAACAAAATTGAAAGTCCTTGCCATGACACACAGGTACATTCTTGCTTCCTTCCACCAAACTTCTCAGGTTCCTATCTCTGTAACTTACAATCCTTAATTGCAAGCAATCCCCTTTGCGTCTGCTGTTTCTCCTGTCAGCATTAATTCCTCAGCCTCATCCAGGTTCAACACAGGTATCATTTCTTTATGAAGGCTGCCCATCCCTTCCCCTTTACTCCCGTGAGGCTGCAGCAGGACTTCTCTGCTCGGCCTGTGTGCCCTCTGCATGCTTGTAGCATTTCATGCCTACCTCCTTGTCCTAACTGATGCTATCAAGATCTCTTCTCATTCAAAATGACTGTCACAGGTGATATTCCCAGAAACCTTACATTAGGAACCCCTAAGCACCTTCCATTTATTAAACTCCTTTAATCTTAGTAAGAAATAAAATCACAAAGGAGTAATTTGTTCAAGGTGATACAAACACTTGCAGGGATAGAATTCACACCTAGGCAATCTACTCCAACCTCTATATTATTAAATCACATCAAAACTCCTCAGGTAAAGGCTATTTCCATTTCCCCCATCAGAAGATCTAAGGTCTCTGTTTTTTTGAGACAGTGTTTCACTGTATAGAGGCCTGGCTGATGTGGAGCTCACTATGTAGATCAGGTTAACCTAGAACTTGCTATGTAGACCAACTTGTTCTCAAGATCAGCCTGCCTCTGCCTCTGAGTACTGGGATTAAAGGCATGTGCCACCAGGCCAGCCAAGACCAAAGTTAAGCAAAAGATAGCCTCATTTATGGTCACTGTGCCTAGGACATAAAATTATTAAACTATCTTCATTCAGTAGCAAATATAGATACTTTAGATTCTGAAAGTTATCCCAGCGTTTAACACACATTCCTTATAATGGGGAAGTACAAGACTTTCATTTATCTTTATAACACACACAAACGCTAAGTGTTGGATATTTTCTCCACATCATATAAAGCCATTTTGAGATTGTGGACTTCGCAACACAGAAAGCTGCAGTGAATTATTGTGAAACGCACCTTGTTTCTGGGTTGCACCTTTCTGAAAAGCAAATACAGTAAATAGAAGTGGCCAGCACTGAACAGAAGATTAACGGATCTGAGCATCCCAACGGAGCACACAACGTGTTCAGACCATCCAAGGATCCAGCGGGCAGGTTTGACCACACCGACTGACACCAGGTACAAACCAGGTAACGTAGTGATCATGGGATCCCACTTAAAAATGAAAGACCAACAATGGAGAAACAAGAGATGAGTTCTCAAATGACGCAAATACATCACAAAGCAAGTCTCACCTGTGTCAACAATGAAGCGCTTGCCGAGTGTATTCTACAGACACAGCTAATCTAAGTAAATCTTGGAAGATTACTTGTCTCTAGGGTTTTTCTGTTTTCTAAGATTTATTTTATCTTATGTGTGTGCATGTCTGGGTGTATGAAGGTGCATCACATGTGTGCAGGTACCCAAGGAGGCCAGAAGATTGTGTAGTTAGGAGGTGGCTGTGAGCTGCCTGATGTGGGTGGTGGGAACTGAACTCCAGTCCTCCAGTCTTCTGCAAGAGCAGGAAGTGCACTTAACTGATGAGCTATGGCTCCAGCTCCAATCTAAGAGAAAGTTTTGCTCTCTGTCTCAAGCCTATTTAGTTATTATGGTATCAACAACCAACAGACAGTAAGTTATAAACTGTTTCTATTTTCCAAGGCCTGCTTTTTGAAAACTTATACTTTTGTGGCAAAATTGCACAGGCTCCAATTTTACAAAATGGACAAACAGCAGTTGGAACTCTGGTGGGTCTAAAGATACAGAAGTATTTGGAAAGACTGCCTTACAGGATTCATAACCTGTTTTGAGTCCAGGAACTGTGCTAGTCCCTGTTCTAAAGCTTGGAATATATCCCACACCAGAAACTATTATGACTAGCATTTTGTAGGTGAGTGATCCTTAAAATGTCCAAGGCTATGACACTAATAAATAAGAGCACCAAGATTTAAAATCAGGTCTTTCTCTAACAGACTTTTTATCTTGAGCCAGTACTGTGTTCACAACAGTGAAAGGATCTGTATCTCTGTACAAGTTATATATACATACATACATATATTTGTGTAGTCCAATATATATTGTTAAATGATGCAATTTGACTAGTTGCCAATTTATCCAGACACGTTCCTAAAAATATCTAGGGATGAACTTAGTGTACTGTGTCACCTTTTGGTGGCCCAAGACCCTCCAAAATACCGGGATCCTTCACAGGTAGGCTTAGTGTGGCTTCCCTACATTTTCAAGGAGCAGCTGAACCCCTCGAGTCCTGGGATCTGGGAGGACGAACCGGTCAGCAGAAGCTGTGCTTTGGTTACTTTGGAGCTCCGGTTTTCCGTACCATCCCGTCTTAGGCAACGGACCCGCTATTTAGTCATTCACTTAATGTTTCACAGACCTCAGGACTAGGAACAGAAGGACTGCCAGGTCCTTTGGGGCCTGGAAGGAGGAAGAGGCAGGTCGGAGCGGGACTGCGGCCCTCGGCGCCATCCCGGGGCTGGGCAGGTGGGAACCAACCTGTGACCGGGAGAAGCGGCCCTCGCAGTACCGTTGCGCCTGCGGCAGGTGGAAGATCTCGTCCATGTAGGGCTCCCGCAGCGTGCGGCTGACGGCGGAGAAAAGCAGGCAGGACACCAGGAAGGTGCAGCTCAGGGCCGCGGAGAAGTAGTACCCCTCAAGCTGCGCCATGCCGCGGCCGGCGGCCCGAACCCACGCTAGAACCTCCGGTAAGACCGGCGGGAGGGGAGAGAGCGAGGCCGGAACGCAGAGGACGCCGGGAGCGTATGGGCCAAGAAGCTCGGGCCACTGTTTCCGGAGTGAAGGCTTTATGCAACGGACCGGATGGCTACGTTGTCAATCACTCGGCTCGCGGCGCCCAGAGTGGCCAGAGTCCATGGAGCGGGGCGGGCCTCGGGTTCCGCGCGGAAGCGGCTCCGTGGGCGTCTGGGAGGAGGCGGAACTGGACGGCGTCGTTGCCCGCTCAGCAGTAGGTGGCGCCTCCCGCACTCAAGTCCGGTTGCCCAGCCCGGAGCCTCTGTCCCCTGTTCCGGGTCTTCCTCTCCGGAGCTGGGCATCACTAGGGGGAGTGATGCTTTCAGACGAAAAGGAGGAAATCCAGAGTCCTGCGCTGCCGAATGGACACTTGGAAGACCTTTTGGCTTCAAGGACAGTGTTTTCAAAATAATGAGCTGTTGCTAAGTGTGAACCCTCTATAATTTCTACTGAACTGAATGCTTTTCATTAGTTCCAATCAATTTAAGTATACATTCCACCTCCCTCTGTTTACAGCAGCCACGTAGAAAATGCCACTTTAAAAAAAAAAAAATCATTCCTATAGGCAGTTACTGTTCCCTACAGGATGGAAAGAGATCTTCAGTATTATTCAGCCACTGATAATTTACCCATGCTTCTGCAAAGAACCCCTCACCCATGCTCCTACAGGGACCCTAATTAAACTAATTGGTTCCTAACAAAGTTCACCTTACAAGAAAATTATATCAAAGTATACTGAAGAGCATTTTATTAAACGAAACTAAAGTATGCCGTCAAACCACAGAATAATCCTTGTCTGATGTGAACTTTTAAGTAGCTCTGTGGGCAGTGAGTTACCTTTAATATCTATGATTTGATGAATGCTTTAGGATTATGACACTCTTGATGAAGTAAAAATGCAATCCCAAGCTCTGCCCTACATCAACAGTTCCCATTGGAGGAGCTACTTTGAGGATCTAAGTGAAGTGAGTTTTATCTCATTATACTTATTTTTTTAAAACTGAATCACCGTTAGCTTTTACTTTTTTTCTCCTTTAAGGATTCACCCTACTTTTCGTTACAATAAAAACTACCATTTATTGGTTTTTTTTTTTTTTTTTTTTTTTTTTTTGAGACAAGAGTTCACAATATAGTCTTGGATAGCCTCGATCTCACAGAGATCTGCCTGCATCTGCCTCCTGGGTGCTGGGAATAAAGGCATATGCCATGTTGCCCAGCTTGTATGTTTGTTTTTGAAAAAAGTCAATACAATCATTTTTACTGTATGTCTGTTACCCTCTTTATTTAGGGCTAGCTACTTGAATGATGACATATGACAGTGTGGAAAAAAATGAGCAATTTCTGTAGAAATTCTAAAGAGCAATATTTTAAGAAGTAAATCTTTGGTAGAAGTTATTGAGCTTTATCTTTTCTTTTTAAATTGAATTTTTCCAATTTTATACAATGTATTTTGATGATGTTTTGGTCCCATCCCCTATCTGCACCCATCTTTACTACTATATCCATCACCCAAATTCATGTTTTCTTAATATATATATTAACACCTATAGAGTCAAATTTTGTGTCGCCAAATGCCTTTTGGTGTGGGTTCATCCACTGGAGCCTTGTTAACGTCTGGAGAGTCCCACCCTTAGAAGTAACTTACTCTCCCCCTCCCAGCATCTGTCAATTGCCAGTAGTAGACTGAGGTTTCTTACCCACCTCCCGATGTCCATGCTGAAATCGGTCTGGCTTGAGATTGTGTAGAAATTGTGCATGCCGTTACCATTTCCTTGTTAACATCTACCACTGCTGTCTCTTACAATCTTTCTGCCACCTTTTCCACAATGATCTGGTTCCAGGCCAGCCAGGACTGGGAGGCAGAAGTTTAATATAGGTATCCAATTCAGGGATAAATATTCTTTAGGCTCTGACTCTCTGCAAATTGGCCAGTTGGAGGTTGCTTTGTTAATCACCATCTGCTACATAAGGGAGCTTCTCTGATGAGAGCTGAGAGATGCATTCATCTGTGGGTACAGGTCATTAGGAGTTACTTTAGTGCTATATCTGTTTAGCAGAATAACAGTATTAGTCTCTCCCTTATGGCCTGTGACCTATCTCGCCGCAGGTTCCTGCACCTCATAACAGTGCCAGGAATGGGCTCCATCTACTGAAGTAGACCCTGATTCCAATCATTTGTGCCACTATTGAATATCTTGTAAGTCAGTTGTTGAAACATGAAGAGTCAAAGCTGGGCAAGGTTGATGACTGATTTTCTCTTCTGGTGGCATGCATAGCATCTCCCAGCACTATGAAAGCTTCCAATAGAGATGAAGCTTTGAAGACAGTACCAGCTTGATTTCTCCTTGTTTGTTCTACAGCTCATGTGTTTAGTGTCTTCAGCAATAGGGTTTTGCTGTGAAATTCTTTTGGGTAACCAAGAGCAGTGGTAATGGCCAGTATTCTTTGAGGGTTTCTAAGACTCCTGGTCAACATCTTCAAAAGAGCAAGTCTGTTCCTGGCATTGGGCTTCTACTTTGCCAGCCTGTGGGTCTAGCAGGGATGATGTCCCCCTTTTATAATGCAACTCCCTAGATTCTCTTTTTATAGTGTTTCCATGTGGCTTTTTCTGAAGGTCTTTAGTGTTAGTTACCTAACATTTACCTGCAAATATCAAATATCAAAATTTTATTTTTTTTAACAACTGAATAATATTGCATCGAGTAAATGTACCACAATTTCATTATCCATACATCAGTTGTTGGACATCTGGGTTTTTTCATTTTCTGGTTATTGTGAAAAGGCAGCAATGAACTTGGATGAACTGAAATCTCTATGGTAGTACACGGGGTTTCTTGGGGTTATGCCCAACAGTGTTTTATAAGGTAGATATATTTCTGACTTCTTGAGGACTCTCCACACCGATTTCCATAGTGGCTGCACCAGTTTGCACTCTGACCAGCAGTGGACAAGTTTGTCTTCCCTACAGCATTGGTCCTTGTTTGCTTTTTTTCTTTTTCTTTTCTTTCTTTCTTTCTTTCTTTCTTTCTTTCTTTCTTTCTTTCTTTCTTTTTTTTTTTCAGAGTTTTTTTTTGATCTTAGCCATTCTGAATGGGGTGAGATGAAATCTCAAAGTGGTTTTAATTTTCATTTTTCTGATCACTAAGGATTTCAAATACTTTCAGTCTTTTGCAGTTACAGCATTTGATCTTTTGAGAACTCACTGTTCAGCAACTTACCCTATTTTCAAAATTAGGATTTATTTTTGATATTCTGGGTTTTTTTTTAAAGTTCTTTGTATAATCTAGATACTAACCCTCTGTCAGAGGCCTAGCTGGTGAACATTTTTCCCATTCTGTAGGTTGTCTCTTCACTCACATGACCCTGTTCTTTGCTGTGAAGATTCTTTTGAATTTCATGAGATCCCATTTGTCAGTTGTTGAACTTAATGATGGTGTGTGAGTCCTATTCTTGTCAGATTCCTGTGCCTATAAGTTCAGGCATATTCTCTACATTCTCCTCTACCAGATTCAGAGTATCAGGACTTGTGTTGAGATCTTTGATCCACTTGGAGTTGGTTTCTGTGCTTCACAAGAGAGAAGGATTTAGTTTTATTCTTCTATATGCAGCTCCAGCACCATTTCTTGACCATACTATTTTTTCTCCAGTGTTTATTTTTGGCCTTTTTGTTAAAAATCATTTGGCTATAAATGCATGGACTTGAATCAGGGTCCTCAATTCTATTCCATTGGTCAATGTATGTGTTTTTATGCCGGTACCATGCTGTTTTTATTACTGTAGCTCTGTAGTATAACTTGAGGTCAGGGATGGTAATGCTTCCAACAGTTCTTTTATTGTTGAGGATTATTTTGACTATTCTGTTTTGTGTGTGTATGTGTGTGTGTTTCCACATGAAATTGAGATTACTTTTTCAATTTCTGAGACAAATTGTGTTATATTTTTAATGGATATTGCATTGAATTTGTAGACTGCTTTTGGCAAAATGGCCATTTCCACAATATTAGTCCTACCAATCCATGAACGTGGGAGGTCTTTCCATTTTCTGGTATCTTCTTCAGTTTCTTTCTTCAACGTCTCAACATTTTTATTATATGTCCACTCCTTTGGTCAGATTTATTCCAACGTATTTTATATTTATTTTTAATGTTTTTTTAATTTCTTGAAGTTCAATTACGTGTTTTGCATTATCTGTAGGTCACAGGCGAGAGTGCACTGGGGCTGTAAAAGAGTAACAGAAAAGTGATGGAAAATCTCTTGGTGACTGGGAGCAAGAAAACTCCAAAGCCAGGGCCTGGGTGTCCAGGACCACACATGGATCAAGACCTTAGCTGGCCATCAAGGAAAGTGGGAAGCCCATTCCTGAGGAACCTCCATTGTCCCAGCATAGGTCTACTTCAGAAGCAATATTCCAAGATATTGTAGGGCTTTTGAGGCTATGGTGCATGAGAGCGTTTCCCTGATTTCTTCTTCAGTATGTTTGCTGTGTAGGAAGGCTACTGATGTTCGTATGCTAATTTTACATCCTACTACTTTGCTGAATGTGTTTATCAGCTCAGCTCTGGGAGGTTTTTGTTGTTGTTGTTTTTGTTGTTGTTTTGTTTGCTTTGGTTTCTTTTCTTTTCTTTTCTTTTCTTTTCTTTTTTTCTTTTTTTTTTTTGTCTTTATGAGTCAGGATCTCCCTGTAGTCCCAGCTGGCCTGGAACTTGCTATGTAAGTTGGCCTCAAACTCACAAAGATTTGCCTGCCTCTGCCTCCTGAGTGCTGATATTAAAGGCATTTTATCAGCTCTAGGAGTTATCTGGTGGAGACTTTAGGGTCCTTACTGACGATCCAAAGCTTCAGCCCCTTGATAGTGACAGTGACATTTTACTAGCTTGAGGTGGTAGTTGATTCCAGGGGTAGTTGGGTACTTACTGCAGCCTAAGCCAGTGCCCCAGACAGAGCATTTAAGGTGCAAGTCAAGCCCCAGTACATTTTTGCCTGTGACCTACACATAATGCAGAGTACCTAACTGAACTTCAAGAAATAAAAAAACATTAAAAAATAAAT